GCTTTATACGCTTCTCTAAATCTCTGCTCTTATGGAGGAAAATGTAACAAAGGACAGTTTTTGACAGTATTACACGCCTGGGTATATTTAGGAAGTGGCAGGTCCTTGCAATAACAATAGCAAAGGGATAAGAAAGTAATAGAATAAAAGCACCTACACCAAAGCAGCTTATTTGAAAGTTAATCTGCTGTCTCAGCAGTTTATGAGCACGCAGATCATGGGTGTGGACACTTCTAATCAGTTAAATAAACAGAAATGACATCAGACAGTGGAATATGTGATGTTTTTAATGATTAAAAGTCATACTTTTCTTGGTCTTCAATGATGATTTTATTTTTGAATCAAAAGAAACTCAAATTTTAAAATCAATTTAAAGAAAATCTGAATATACAGTAGCTCGCTGTAAGACACATTATAGACAGTATTGTTTTAAATTACTGTTGCACATAAACGTTCAAATCTGCATTAATTTATTCCTTTGGCCACTAGGGAGCAGAACAACTCTACAAGAAGTTGGCAGACTCTGGCAGACAGCCCTGACATATTAGCAACCACCAAGTTTGATAAGACCAAAGTGTTAGCATATAAGCACACATCCAGACACAGAGAAACATTGTCATCTCATTGGAGTTGTCTTTTTGTCCACCTGATGAAAGTCCAGTATTCAGTCCTCTTTTAGCTCTGTTTTGGTCTCCACCATCTCCTGAGGGAAATAGCTGGCTTTTTAGTTCCACTATGTTCACCGCTAACTTTGTCTGTCTGCTGTTTGGTACGTCGTGTAGGCCTACAGTGGGTTCTTAGAGCTTGTTTAGCAAAAAACGCTGAATGCTGCGGCTGGAAACATGGCTGATGAGAGCACTAAGACTGGACCAAAACTAAACAATGAGGCAGAAGAGGCTAAAAGACTACATAAAGACTACAGTGTACGTTGAGCATTTAAAAGTTAGTTGTCAAGTATAGATTTTGTCTTGTTTTCAGTAGCTGTTAATGGTTTCCAGTTGTTGCTTTTGAAACAATTTGCTATTTGCTATTACTGTTGTTGAGAGCAGCTAACTGAAAGGTTAAGATTTATAAATTTTATATTTAGTCAAGTTCATGTAAAACTTTGAAGGATAATGATTTTTGGAGTGTTGTATTGAGGATTATGTCACAGTCCTGTTGAAGTGGGATTTACTGTAAAAATGGGAGGAACTGGCCAGGAAGAGCTTTCTCTTTATTATGTGGTGGAATGAGGGCGAAGCGAGTCGACAGTACCTCTGGGACTGTGGGCAGCCAACACTTCAGACACTCTAAGAACCACTGGCAGCACATGAAAGAATCCAAGAGAGAGCATATCGTGCAGAGTTAGTGACTGCCACTGTCACACAGTAAAATACTGCTGGCTGTTATTATGTTAAATGGAGAGGTTTTGCACTTCAACATAAACGCCTTGTAGAAGGTGTGTCAAAATTGAAACAAGATCATTTTCAGGCCAACAATGATCCTCAGTGGGCTGAATGGATTTTAGAGACCTGAGGAAGAGTCTTCCTGCTGATAGTGGCAATGTTTTCTGTTCGTTGGCTAAAGTAATCAGCGTGGTTTGAACTATATACAGTTATTAGCAGCATGGCTCTAGGGATATGCAATGTTGATGGGTTGGTCGGTCCACCACTGTGGTCCAGGCTGAAATCTGAAACAATCAGAATCTGAAAAGGTCCATGGTGAGAGGGGTAGGCCACAATCTTTCCTGCCTTTCTCAGGGTCCTGGAGGACTACAGGTCCTGAAGGGATGGCAGATATGCTAAACAACTATTGGATGAATCGTTATGAAATTTGGCAGACGTCCCCCTTAGGGTAAATTGTTATCACTTTGGTGAGCTCCAGAATTTTATAGCTATAAAACCAAAAACATTCCCATCAGCCTCAGCTCTATCTGTTTAACATTAGCATGTTCACATGGCCATTGCGTTGCCATTGTGGTGGAAGGCACAGCTGTGCCTAATAACTGCCTCACAGAGTCACTAGCATGGCTGAAGACTCTTAGCACTAATTAGCCCTTCGTTTAAACAGCTTATATTTATTAAGACAAATTGCCGTTGCTTTTGCTGCAAACTTAATTCAAATAATTATGTATTCAGTAGAGTGCAGCTTGTTTGTTTGATTTTATAGACTGATAAATGTACAGTATAGGCCCACAGTGTACAGGTTTAGGTCTTGGGACTTTCAAAGTTAATGTGTTTATGCATTCAGGAAGTCCTTTTTTCTTTATTGCATCATGGAGCAGACACACCTCTCTGGGCAGGAAGGAGCTGAGCTGGTGCGTGAGACTGAGAAGCGTTTCATAGATACAGCTTGGCTCACCTTTATGCCCAGATCTGACGCTGGAGTTTAACTTCCTTCCAGTGGGCGGTGTACTGTCAAGCAGCAGTGACACTAACACATCCCTGCTGCTGCTGCAGCTGTTGTTCATGTTTACAGTCCTCAGAGCAGATCTTCAATGTGTTATCATTGTCCCTGTTTAGTTGTTGAAGCAGGTTACAACATTACAATGTCAACAGATTGTTTTGTTACACTAGTGGTGTGGCTCTAGAGATGGCGATGTCGGCCGATCGGTCCACCAATTTGTTTCAGACAGAAATATCTCAATAACTATTGATCGGAGTGCCATGCAAGTTTCATGTTTCATGTTCACATTCATGTTCCTCAGAGGATAAATCCTAATGACTCCAGTGGTCCACTGACTTTTCCACATGTGTCACCATGCGGTTTGCGTTGGTGGTTTTAAGGGAAATGTCTCAACAAATATTGTAAATGGTAACATGCTAACACGTTAAACGGTAACATGCTAACACGTTAAACTGTGATGATGAACACTTGAAATCTTAATATCCCAATACATGTCACTTACAGTTAACATAACACCTTTTATATTTTCATGGAGCAGTCCAGTGTATCCTTTCATTGTGCAGCTTTTAGTCCTTTTATTGTTCAACCTTTAATGTTTGATGTATGTCCATGGTACAGTGTATTTTTATTGAATGATTATTACTTTCCTACTTCTGTGACGCTGGAACTGCACCCAAGATTTTCAACAGCTGCTGCACTTGTGTATATGGTTGTGTGACAGTAAAGATATTGTATTTGATTTTGTTGAACTTGGTAAACAATATACCAGCTAAACATCTGCATGTTAGTTAGCCATTCATATTTAATTCAAAGCACCTCTGTGCTTTTATTACAGCTTCAAAGAACCTCTGACAATTGCAGTGGCACACTACAGAAGTGGAAAAATGGGAAAATAACTAACAACTAACTTGTGGGTTTTGAAGCAACATGAAACTTTTCATATGAATCAGTGGCAAAACAATCTGATGAAAAGGATTACCTAGAGTTTAGTTTTGTTCTCCATCTCGTGACGCCCAATAGATGTATCTTTGCTCTCAAAGTACAGTGCATGATGCACTCAGCTTTGGCCCTTTCTTGGAACAGATCTTATCATCACAGCATTAGTTCCTTCTGCGGCAACAGAGCATTGCAGAATAATGCTAACAATCAGACGACCTAAACCAGGTCAAATAAAACAAGTCTCTGAAACATTTTGTCTTCTCTGTGTTCCAGAAAATGACCGAATGTCACTTCAAGCCAGGCAGCTGGGTCGCATAGCTGTCAGGTCAGGTCTGTTGGGCCTGTTCATGCTCTGTCTGCACAGCTGTTTTATTAGACTGACTGAACTGACTGGACCAGGATCCCTGTAATGCTGAACTCATTATGTTTAATTGTGTTGGATTTGAACAATGTGCAATCAGTTGTGTTGAAGTCAGGAATTTCAGACTTCAGCTTGTTCAGTGTTTTGCTTTTCTTTTGTTGAAAGAGAGGTTGAAATGAAAGTACATAGTAGCCTACTATACTTACCAGTAAGTACAGTGTTGAGGTTCTGGTACGTAACATTTTAAAAGAGACTTTCTTTCCCTTCACTTCATTTCAGAAGGAATTTTTGTACTTTTCAATCCACTATATTTAACTGAAGGCTGTTGATAGTGTACTGTGTCCCCTTTGCAAATTCTGATTTTACATTAAACATGACAGAAAATATCACTTTTGTCTGTACGTTTGTTCCTTATAATTTCATCTTGTTTGGTCTTTCCTGCGTTTCTTAATTTTTTTCTTATTTATTTAATCCCTATCTTCCTTGATTTGTGTCTTTCTTTCTTTCATCATTCATTTCCTTCTCTCCTTCCCATGTTTCCGGATTTCTTTCTTTTCTACTCCTCCTCTTTCCTTCATGTCTTTCTTGATTATTTATCTGTTTATTTATTTCCTTTATTCCGTCCTTCTGTCCTGTCTTTAATAAATTTTGTCCTTGTCTCCCTCCCTTATCTGATCTAAACCCGCATAAGTGGATACAAGGTTTTCATCCACCAATAAGTACTTTTAAAACTTGTAATAGAATACTTCTCTGGTGTGATGTAACTAATTCCACTTAAAGAATTTAAGTACTTCCTGTTTATTGATAAACTAACCCAACTACGTGGCACTGAGTGGAATGACAACCGCGTGAGGCACAAAAAGTGACGCACACAGTCCGTGCATGAGGTGCCAGCAGTGTGTAAAGAGGGTAAAGACGCTGGCGGGGAGCACCTGTCAAACTTCATATCAAGTCACCCGTTTTTCCACCTTCAGCCTGCCTCCCTCTAACCTGACAAACAAGCAGGAGATGACTCACTGTGTCATGTGTCCCATAAATGGGTTATTGATCTGATCTCAGAGTTCATACAGTACCACCCTATGGCTGATTGCGTGTGTGTTAGTGATCTCGCAAAAGTGATAAAGTGTGTTGTAGGTTCTCTTCTGGCGCAAGAAAACCATTTAGTTGTAGTGTCTGGTGTCACAGGGATGCATAGCAACGCAAATGCATGCCTATAAATATACTTCCACGTCCAGGCTATTTTAAACCTAACAGGGTCAAACAGAAGAGTTCAACTTCCTTTTACCAGAGGGAATTTATGTCCTGGAATGTTTAATTATCTGGAGAAATGTTTAATTATCAGACAAATTAACTGATGATTATTTAGGCAATGTATAAGAAGAATAAAGAGTGTTACTTAACACAGTCATAACATATAACATACAATGCAATTCTGCAACTAAAAATTGGGAAAACAAACTCTAGACTTTAAAAAAATGGATGTAGAATGGATATAGCCAGTTAAAGGGTTAGTTGAATTAAACTATGAGAAAAACAACATTTTTGAGTTGTGTCTAGCCACTCACATGTTTAACTTTGATAATGAGGTTAAAGGTTGATTTTAATTTGACAAAATGATTTCTAGAGGTTCTCTCATCTCATGACCATCATCAGTGGATGTTATCACATGAATGAAGTTTGGAATTTCAGCAGTTATAAGGACACCTGTTATCATGTGAGCTACATACTTAGGAGGGGAATGAAATTAAGCATCAAGCACAGCAATTGCTCATTATATCACATGGGGTGTGTCACAGGGAATGAATGACAACCAAAGCAGCATCTGGGATGCCTCACAACATCCTGACAAAATTATTATTTTTGCCTTCTCTCAAACTGTTTGGCAAAGTTTAGAATTTCACCAATGGAGCGCTCTTTGGTGCCATTAACATGTTGTTGTTGATCCACCTCCTTTAACCTAAGCACGTTACAAAACGGTGAACTACGATTCATCAGGATCAAGTGTATGCTCTGCCATGTCTCTTGTTTAAGAAATTATGACTTTGGTCACCTGATCTGACACAGTGACCATCTCTAAAGAGAAATATATCTGGGATTTCAATTGGTGCTAAATGGGAACAATGTTTATGGAAAGAAATGTTCAATGCCTAGAACAACATTGTGCTGGGATGGATGCAGATGGATTTCTACAAGTTGGCAAATACAATCGAAATCTGCGTGATAAGACACCATTAGAGATCAGTGAACGGACTTTAATTAGTTTAATTAGTTGTGATATCTGATGGCATTTATGAAACCTATTCATTTAACTGAACTCTAACGATATCACAATTCAATTTTTTTTTTTTTTTACCACATTCAGTTTGATTATTTTAAGTAATCAACATAAGGCAGAGTCTGTTAACTTGTGTGTGAAGGCTCAGGCACACCCATGGATGTCATAAGAAAGAAACATTCCTTTCAATTCTCCACTGAAAGCAAAGAGCTGAATGTTAATATAATATAAACTCATCACCTCTCCTACCCTACACTGTCTCTAAAGAATACAAACACTGACATCAACTCATCAAGAGTCAGATTTCCTGTAAACATTAAAAGCCTAAACAATTCACTGGCATGTGCCAATGGCTTGTAGTAATCAGTGTAAATGTCTGCCAGTAAGAACAATGGCTTTCTGTACAGCAATGCTGAAGATATACTTTGTCCATCTGTGAGCGCTGACAAGTTTATTTATCTGTAAAATGTTCCACTCAGAATATCTTCCTAATTCTTGATTGAATTTAATAAATTATCAAAATAATATTTATTATCAAAACGTTGTTTTTTATGTGGTTATGGTAAAACATTTGGTGTATCTGCATAATTTCGGCAGATGTATATTTCTGAAATTTGAAAAAGGAACATTTGGGGAAATAAGCTTATTTGCTTTCGCTTCTTTCGATATCAATTCCCTTCCGTCCAAAGTTAGAGGAAAAAAACCTGTAACACCTCTATGGCTCACTAGGTTACATATCCTTTTCTGATCTGTATGCAAATTAAAAAAGTGAAAACAACAATTTGTGGTTACGTATAGTAACTGTTTCTGTTAGAACTATTTTACACAACAGCCATGTAGGCTACAAAATGCTGAACTATTGCATTAACTCTTGAATATTGGTTTCTGTCCCAACAATCCAGCATCACTCGGGTTCTAATCAACACTGACCTTCTTTCCTCCCAGCTGTTAAACTATTACATGTTTCTGTATCAATGAGTTTATTAAATCTCATCATGTCCTGGTAACAGTTGTTACATGCAAATGATTATATAAAAACAAAACATATGCTGCATTTCATATTTTTTTTAGAGTATGGAAGTACACTGGACAATAAGTGATCATTACCCAACACAATATTAATTTTGATTGTTCCAAACTTGCCAAAATAGGCAATAGTACTCTAATTGTGGAGGAATCACTTATTTAATTTGTCAATAGATGCCATTTAATACTTGATGATAATGAATGAGTAAAGTGCCTTAAGAGAATATATATTTAAGGTTAAATATTCTCTCTATATATATAACGTCATGTACTAATCTAATCTGACATGCTAAACAGAATATATTGGCAGATTTTAAACAAAATCCTCACATCTAGTACCGTACTTCCATAACAGGCAGTTCATAATCATTCCCTGTGAGGTGAACAGACATTATAAACAGATATGTTATATGAAGATGAAGCACAGTAAATGAGGCATGAATCATTGTCCTGGATTTTCCAGTTTCCCTCTCCTTTCCTGGGCTTTTCAAACCACAATCCCTCCCATTACAATCAAAGCCACCACATCCAACAGCAGATTAATGGGAGACTTCCTCTACATCGCTTTGCACAGTGGTAATTAATCTTAATTGTGATACATTCCTCCTGGCAGCATTCCCAGCTCACCAGATGCCCCACAAATAAAACCCTTACAATGTCTTCAAAGCTTTGAGTTCTGGGCCTTGAGAATCTGCGGTCAAAGCTTTTATAGGTCAGATCCAAACACATGCTGAACAGCATCTGTCCACAGCTGGTTCTCCAACTCAGTCTTAAAATCAGACCTTTTCAGACGCAGAAAACCAGGATGTGTGTCATCCAGACACAGATAGTTCAAGTAAAAATACTCCTCTGGTTTGCAACCAGGGCGGTTTGGCTCTCCCTTCGCCTCTCCTTCTTCCTCTCAAGTCTTATCTTCCAGCAGACGGCGCTGGATGCTAAGAGCACCAGGCCGGCCGAGAGGAGCACCAGGCCGAAGTATGAGATGGTGGATCCGTGGGAGTTGAAGCTGTAAGCCACGGCGGTGACCACGATGCCGGCGATTAGGACCACCACACCAAACGGGACGGTGCAGCGATAGCAGGACAGCTCCGTCCCGCCGGTGGCTGCGGTCAGCTGGACTTCATTGACCAGTGGGATGTTTACCGTTGTCACGGGGGCTGCAGGATGCTCGTTGTTGTTTGCCTTATCAGGGGTCACTGGCGTTCTCATGGCGTCCTTATTTGCTTCTTCTGGCATTGCAGAATCAAGGAGCAGTCTGTTAACCAAGATGGTTCCTCGTTGTTGCCCCCTTTACCTCTTTCCCTTGCTAGGGTCTCCCAGTCTATGTGGAGAAAGAAACCATTTATTAAGTGAAAAGGAAGCAGTGAAAATGCAAAGAGTCAAACTTGTTGCTCAACGCAATTTTCCAGGAGAAAATGAGACCTTGCAGATGTTTTTTGTTAGCATTCAACACCACATTTCACAATTCAGCGCCACACGCTGCTTTAAAGTGACCTCTTTGCACAATCCCAGCCACCTCCTGGCCAAGTCAGAGGAGTTGTCTGAATGACGCAGGACCACTCAGCCCGCACGAGCTGAGACATTCCCTGGAGAGCGCAGGATATGACATTACAAACTGGTCTGTGAAATGCGAGGAGCTTCGAAATCACCAGCAATTTCACAAGCGCTCACCCCCCCCCCCCCCCCCCCCCCCTCTTATCTGCTGCGTGGAAAGCTGTGATTCAGACTCTGAGTGACAAAAAACAGCAGTACAGTTTCAGTTATACTTTCCATTGTTGTCAGGGTTTTAAAACACACTAGACCAGTGGTTCCCACACAGGGGCTCAGGCGCCATAACTACTACTGAGGTTATGCCACCTGTATTTTGGAGAATAATTTCCGAGCTGGGCTGAGTTTACATTTTACACTAAAAGTGACACATGGTGGGTTTTTAATTGGTTGATTCAGTAACAAAGGAGCGACTGTTTCCCCAACAGGATTTTATTCCCGACAGAGTAAAGATAATAACAACGGATAACCAAGTACACATGTGAGTGAGGGTTTGATGTTTTCCTTTTTCCTGTGGAATTGGAAACTTAATCTCTTCGGGTGTTGGACTGTTGGTACACCAAGGAATTCAAATTTATACAGTGCATTCCTCACAATTTTCTGCCATTTTATTAAAACACTGCTAAAGCAAAGAGTCTCAGGTTGAACTGCTCACAGCTCATAGACACAACCTGCGATGAGAGGTTGTCAGTGTGTATTGTTAGGCTGTTAAGGATGGTAAAACTGGAGGAAAAGACTAACATTTGGAAAAGGTTTGTAATTCCTATGACTACCTTGGAGTGGATTTTTGTTTTCTGTTGTTAAGTGAGGGAAGATGCGCAGATGGTAGAGTGAAAACCTGATGACAAAAGTAGCTTTTATTTTTAAACTTACTTGGACATTAAGTGGAATTTGTGCCTGTGAACATTTAAAGAAAAATTATCACTTTGGGGGGGAAGGGTTCAAGAGGTGAAACAGAAGAGAGTTGTAAAACTGTTTAAGCTCTAACAATAAAAGCCAATAAGAAGTATTTGATGTTGTTGTTGTTTTACTATTCTTGACAGGTGTTTTACATGTGTCTGTTTAGGCTGTAATTAACATTAAAGTTAGGTAATGTTTTGAAAAAATCCTCTAAATTTTCAGCTTTAGCTTGTCATTTCTGGTGAATCTACTTGACCTGCTCGACAAAGCTCTGTAAAGAAAGAAGAGAGTTTAGTTACCTCACAGCCGTTCTCCATGTCGCAGAGTCTCCACAATGCTCCTCTGCCGCAGTGAAACCTGTCTCTCATAAAATATTCAGTCAGATTGATCTAATTAAAAGTGAACGTTGTTTTCTTTTCTGTGTTGAAGGCATAGACTACAGTCTATGTTTGAACAACACACAGCGTCTCTCTCCGGGCTGGAATCTGACTCCCATTCATGAGAAACTCCTCAGGTTAAGAGCCGCTGGTCAGACTGCCATCCCCATTCAGTACAACTATTTCAAGTATCGGTGGCTGAAGCGAAGCGTAAAGTTCAGAACAATTAGTATAATATACCTTTTCCGGTTGTGCATTTCAAAATATTTCTCCTTTTGCTGCGAGCATTTGTGGCAATCGCTTTCAGTTCCTTGGACGCTTTTATTTTGAAAAAAAAAAAATCCTTTTAGATGAGTTGACAGTGGAGCGTGTTAAATATGAAGGAAGGTAAAGACTCATTATTATATTAGATTTGTTTCATACCATGCCAGAAATACAGAAAAATAAATAATTTAAATATTTGAAACAAAAGAGTAAAACTTACTTGCATGCAGATGTATTTAATTTGGGGAAATTTAGTTAGTTAGTTGGTGTAGTTCAAAAGTTACAGGGCAAACAGTTGCCTGTCAGGCTACATGAAGTACATACAATTTAAATCATTTGATATAATGCGCATACAAGGCTTTACCCCTTCAGTGCTCAAACTTTAAAGACTGACAACTGAGGTGGACGGCCAGTCCACGTCTTTTTAAAGGCAAAACATATGTCAAAATACCGTTTTAAATTAAATGTTGTCATGCTGCAGAGATGTGCTGACCTACACATCATATTCAACAGACTTAAAAAAAAACATCTTTGTTTGATATGTATCACACCATAATCATTTACATGTTTTTTCAATGAAAATGAGAATAAGATATAGAGAATAAATGAGAATAATATGGGTGATGGGGCAGTGGATAAGACACATGTCAGCAAGTCACTTAACCCCTAGTTGCTCCAGAGGCATGCGACCTCTGACATATATAGCAGTTGTTAGTCACTTTGGATAAAAGCATCAGCTAAATGAATAAATGTGATAATTAGGCTTGTGTAAAAAATGATCATTCCCTCAAAGACCACAAATCATATTGCCATTGCAGTATCAGTCAGAATTATCGCAATTAGACATTTTTTCAAATTCATTCAGCCCTACTAGAGGATCTCAAAAATCTTATTGTATTTGTACTATAAGACTTTCCATCTCTGACTGATATAGAAACAATGCAAAGAAATGCTGCACTGTGCATACGTCGACCATCAACTGTTTTATTTTGAAAGTTGTGATCGGAAGCCTGGTGTTTGACTCTCTGCTTGTGACAGATAGTTGTGAGAGGAGCCGTCATGTCGCTGCAGTTTACAGATGAGGAGTTTCAGAGCGCGTGGCGGGAGCTGGACGAACCGCAGCTGGAGGGAGGATGGGAGCTCTTCACTGAGACGATGGGAGTCAAAATCTACCGGCTCTATAAGAAGGTACAAACGTTTAATAACACTGCTGCTTTTACAACCGGAACACGGCTGCTACAGTCATGATTGACATTAGCTGCATCAGATTTCCTGTGCAGAGCGTGTAGCGTCAGAATCATCACCGAGTTCTTGTCCTTCACAGCAATTATTTGAGATTGTTCTCTTTGATGTTCTGCATTTATTCAACATGTACACAGTGTTGCCCTAACAGCAGACACTGGACAATCCGGAATTTGAGCGAGAGCTCAGAGACCGGATACACCAGTCAAACCAAGCTCCTAAAACTAATCTGTCGACTTAATCTTGCCTCTCCTTTGGGCACATATGAATACCCTGTCGAACCTGGGTGAACATATTTATGAAATCAGAAGGACCCACTCTTCTAGTCGGCATACAGATGAAGGCAGTAGCTTTTAATTCATTTTGACTGGAAAGTGAACAAAAATGACTGAAATAAAATTTATGCTAAATACAGCAGACTGAAACGACGCTGAAGTTAGCATCCGATTCGGCAGTTAAGGGAAAAGTTAAGGAAAACTGAGGTGAAAGTTAATTTAAGATGCTGAGCGACCGATTCTCTGTGTTTTGCACTTCTTACTGCTGTGAAAGCTGTATTTTAGGCAAAGCCTTAATGCTGTCTGAAACACTTTTTTAGATTTCACTGCTGTTTCTCCACATGCAAACCACATTAGACCTGGTCCAGATACAAAACCACTATACCTAGAGTTCTCAAATCTGGACTAGATTATTCCACAGAGACGAAAGTTTCTTTTAAATACAGTTTCAGATTTGTGAAACCTTTTATTCAAATTCTAAAAATGCTTTAAACGACGATTTCACTGCTTTTATTTATTTATTTTTTTTACATGTAGACCACATTAGACCAGGTCCAGATCCAAAACCACTATACCTAGAGCTCTCAAATCTGGAATAGATTATTTCCAAACACAGTTTCAGACGAAACCTTTATTCAATTAAAATGCTTTAAAGGACGATTTCACTGCTTTTTGCACGTAGACCACATTAGACCAGGTCCAGATACAAAACCACTATACCTAGAGCTCTCAAATCTGGACTAGATTATTCCACAGAGACGAAAATTTCTTTCAAACACAGTTTCAGATTTGTGAAACCTTTATTCAATTTCTGAAAATGCTTTAAAGGACGATTTCACTGCTTTTTTCGCATGTAGACCACATTAGACCAGGTCCAGATCCAAAACCACTATACCTAGAGCTCTCAAATCTGGACTAGATTATTCCTCAGAGGTTAAGGTTTCAAACAAACACAGTTTCAGATTTGTGAAACCTTTATTCAATTCGTGAAAATGCTTTAAAGGACGATTTCACTGCTTTTTTCGCACGTAGACCACATTAGACCAGGTCCAGATACAAAACCACTATACCTAGAGCTCTCAAATCTGGACTAGATTATTCCACAGAGACGAAAATTTCTTTTAAACACAGTTTCAGATTTGTGAAACCTTTATTCAATTTCTGAAAATGCTTTAAAGGACGATTTCACTGCTTTTTTCGCATGTAGACCACATTAGACCAGGTCCAGATCCAAAACCACTATACCTAGAGCTCTCAAATCTGGACTAGATTATTCCTCAGAGGTTAAGGTTTCAAACAAACACAGTTTCAGATTTATGAAACCTTTATTCAATTCGTGAAAATGCTTTAAAGGACGATTTCACTGCTTTTTTCGCACGTAGACCACATTAGACCAGGTCCAGATCCCAAAACACTATACCTTGAGATCTGAAATCTGGACTAGATTGTCCCACAGAGGCAAAAGTTTCAAACATAGTTTTAAAGAATGCTAATGCCTAATGGACCTCCCTTTCTCCCTTAAGGGAGCATTGGTAACCACAAACTGATGTTTTTGTGAATGGAGCTTGGAGTGACTTTACTTTCTCTTCAAGTAGACATATATTTGCCCCCAAAATCAGTGACTAGAAGTGTGTGTCATGGTTGTTGCATTCAAGTGGGAGAGAAGCATCCCCAGACCTTCTTTCTATACTTTTCGAATCAAATCCGGCACACTTCCTCACTTGGAGTGAGAAAGGGTGTAACCAGCACAGATTGGCTCTAATCATGGTTGTGTGGTTTGGGATTAGTCACAGACTGTGGGTGTGGCATGTAGCCTGCTTTTGGAAGAGAGAACTTTCATGTGCTGTTTTCAGGAAACTGGACTTTATGAGTACAAAGTCTTTGGTGTGCTCACCACCTGCACTCCAGAGCTGTGTGCAGATGTCTACATGGACTTGACGTATCGGAAAGATTGGGATAACTATGTGAAAGGTAAAAAAAAACGCCACAACAGTAAGACTATTGTCATTGTCATTGCCATCCACGTCAACTTCCCCTCATCTCTCCTGCTTAAGAACAAGTCTTCATATTTAAATGTCATTAGTTCTGCTCTCTAGTAAGTTGCTGAAATTCACCATGGATAAACTTGTTTGTAGCCTTCTGTTGCCATAGCCTTTTCCATGAGCTTTCTTAGATATTTTTATTGTCTTGAAATAATGTTCTGCATACAGGCATGGTTTTATGCACTGAAGTAATCCTTAACATTTTATGTTTTTCTTCATGCACCTCTACAGTAAACCGCAGGTATCATGTTGTTGCTGTAGTCTGTATTCTGTTTTGTAGCTGCCTAGTCTGTTAGAAACAAAAATCCATCACATATGGAATCACATAATGTGTAGTTAGTAGTAGTTTAAGTAGATTTTCCCTCCAAAGTAGGGTGTCTTTTTTTAGCGTACTCTTGTTGTCTGTGGTGGTAGCAGAGTCTTATCTGACATATCTTAACTGAAACTTGATAAATGCTGTTTAATAATGATGCCAATTCTAAAGCTTTTGAATTACAAATCCCCAAAATACACACATTTATCTCCTACATTTCAAAATATATATATTTTCTGCCCCTAAAACACAAGTGGTGCTATCTTGTGATGCTATAGTGACATCCTATTTGCATAATTGATTGCTACTGATTGGACAGCCCTATAGATGTTTAGTGTTTGCTAGTTAAGATAAGTTTTATTGGTCTAACCTGTTTTAATAAATGACAAGTCTGAAACTAGCTAGCAGTTACTTGATTTACTTTAAATTTAAACTTAGCAAAGGATTTAGCTGGTGCAACTCAGTCTTGGACATCACTGGTTAAATGTATTCCTCTGTTAGTCAGTAAGATCTCTCGGATACAGGTTGGTTAGTGGCAGTAATTACCAGTGTATGCCTTGAAAATATCCTTACTTTACCATACAAAAACAAAACATAACGGAGTTTCCTCAGAGATTAAAGCATGTGTACTATGTATCAATCTACATATAGCTGATGTCTTTATTTAATGTTTTTTTTATTTATTCAGAGCTGTATGAGAAGGACTTCAATGGACAGACTGCAATCTACTGGGAAGTAAAATACCCATTCCCTCTGTCAAACAGAGATGTATCCTTCTGGTCCACACAAATACATTCAGTACACAGACTCTAAAAGTTTTTCCATTTGAACATGTATTGTATGGCTTAGAAAGTCAGGTTAGAACAGAGAGCATGTTTTCCCCTACAGGATATTTTCACAGAGTGTCTTCCCTAACAGCTTAAACCTCAGTATGTGTACGTAAGGGAGCGGAGAGACCTGGAAGTGGAAGGCAGGAAGATCTGGGTGATCCTGGCCAGAAGTTCGCCAGAGACACAGTGTGCAGAGAAGAGTAGCGTGCTGCGGGTCAAAGACTACAAGCAGAGCCTTGCTCTGGAGAGCGACGGAGCCTGTGGAACTAAAAGTAACACACGAGGAAATACAATGATACTACTGCTACTGTGCATGAATTGATATCAAGCAGGGCTGAAATGATTAGCCGATTAATTGCTTTGACAGAATAAAATAATAATGTAGTAATATGACAATCCATCGGATGTCATTTATCCAGAAGAGATGGCAAAAAGGTGAAGGTTCAAATTAAAGTTTTATATCTTTTGTAAATTGAATATGTTTGAATAGGGCTGGGCTATATGGCGTGAATCAATATTCTGATATGAATTTACCGGTAAAATTTCCCAATAGTAGTATACATCATGAGAGGGCAAATATATGCAAAAACATAAAATAATCAAGTTCATGTTCAATAGATCTAAACTTTGTTCCAGAGTTACCGTAAACATTAAAGTTAAGCATTGTTTGATTTTCAGTAAAAGCCGTTAATTTTGTTAATGATAAAGATGAGTTATAATAAAGCAATTTGAGAATGTCATCTTGAGCTCAGGAAACTTGTTAAAAATGTACATTTCTTAACGGAAACGTTTTAATAAAAAATGTATTTGATTAATATCAAGAATGAACATTTGCTTTGTTTCAGTTTTCATGAATTACTTCGACAACCCCGGTGGCAGTATTCCTACCTGGCTGGTGAACTGGGCAGCTAAGGTGAGTGCGTGTTTGTTGTATTTTAAGTTCCATTTTGCAGCAAGATGTACAAACCATGCAAGCATAAAACATTTACAGTTTTACATAAAAGAAAAAAAAACATTCAATGTCTTTTAACCTGAATAACCCATTAAGTAGCGTAAGGGGCACTGGCCACGCTGAACACTTACAGTTTTATTCTCATGATTTGAAAGAAAATTAAGAATAGAGTGACCTGCTAATTTTCCATCTAACATTGGCGTCTTTTACAGTATTAAGAAACGTGTTTAGTTTCTGTAAATCAGCTTCGTCTGGAGATATTTCTCAGCAAAGAAGGGGATTTATTTGATTTTAAGAACTGCCTGTGGGGATTATGCTTCCTTAGCTGCACAAGGGAAAAATGACTTAAGTGATTGAGTATTGATTTATGACACATGTTATTCTAAGACTATATCCACAACAGTAGGAAAGCAGTTACATTTGTTCTCTTTCTTGAACAAAGCTGTGTGCATCAAAGCCAACTTCTTGTGTCTCTGAACCATTCTCTCCTGTTCTCCATCATCCCCTTCACTTTGTTTAACCAGCTGAACTCAGAATTCTCTTGTCAGACAGCAGAAAATAGGAAAATGAAAGGTCGGTTTAATCTGTCCACATTTAAACATCAGGCTAGAGTTATCTATTCCAACACCTGGTAGACAGGAGGCCAAAACACAGAGAGAGAAATGTGCTTTTAAATTTAAACATTTGCTTTAAATATTTCAACTATATAATCAATTCAGACTCGAGTCATACATTTCACTGACATGTGGAAGTTGTGAAGAAACCATTTCCCAACAGCACATCACAATCTTTAAAATGTGCACATATTCATCGTTGACCTACTCAAACAGATCTCAGACGAGGGCTTTAAAGAGGGTGTTAAAAGGGTTCACTCACAGGCTTTTGTAGAGCTCCATCTCTCCGCCTGCTTTATGGTTTTCCATCATTATTGTTAGCAGATGTGTTGCGGGCTGATGTCAACAGCTCCTCTCCTCGTTGCCCGTCCTGGGTGGGTCTTCTTGGCACATGTGTTCGTGACGCTCACTGATAAACGCTCTCTGTGTGTTTTTGTTAAACAGAGTGGGGTTCCAGGTTTCTTAACAGACATGAAGAAGGCCTGCAGCAATTACAACAGCTACCGCCAGAAGAAATGAATGCAACTGACGGGACAATGGCTCATGCACAAGGGCTCAATTTTATTTCTCTTGTTTTAGTTTTGGGAGCTATTTGGATGTTGTATGATCAAATTTGATGTTTCTGTATGGGGTTTGTTTGGGGCATGGTGTGGTCTGCTACTTCGTCGTCGTAGCATGCTGTTTACTCAGGCTTGATGGGCATGACCGGTCACCCTCATTAATAGGCTGGTGTGAAATCAATCTGTTCCCTTATGGTGCATTAACCAATACTGTATTATCTTTCCTGTGCAATCACTGTAAGCTCCAGTCCCTCATGGATTTAGGAGCTTTCATAGAACAGTTTTTTGAAGCCAAGTTTAATGTTTTTACAAAATACTGTAAAGTACTGTATTATTAGTTTGGGCCCAATGTGGTGAAACAATAATTAGTTAAAATTGCAGCATCTTGATTAGGATTTCATCACTTTACCTCGTTTTTAAATATGTTTACTGTCTATCTATCTTCCTATCTTCCTATTGTCAATTTCAATCAAGTGAAATTCACTAATTTGTTATAGTGAAGTGAAAATGACAAATCTTTTAAAGGAATGTTGCCCGCTTCTTGCAAATATCATGTTATGATGCTCTATGCTGATTTATTATGGGTGAATATAGTCAAAGATAAAGTATCTGAAGAAATACTGCAGGCAGCATCTCAGTGCTGCTGTTGATAGAGGTGAATCTGGTTTAATCTGGTCATGAAAAGCTATTACTGTGTAATATTGCTGTTACTGAAATTAATAAAATTTTATTTGAAATTTTGCACTGTAAAGTATATAATGCATTTGCATCTCACATCCACTAGCACACACTATCTGTATCTATAGGGTGCACTTGCCCATTGTAAATTCTTTAACAGCTTGTGGTCCAGCTCACAAAAAGTGAGCCCTTCAAGCCTTAAGAAATTAGGAATGTTACGCTCAAAGATGCTACAGCTGGTGGAAGAAGTACTCAGATAGTCCTGTACTGAAATATTTAATTAGGTAAAAGTACAGAGGTATTAGCATTAAAATATACTTAAAGTACCATAAGTAAAAGTTCACATTATGCAGAATGATCCATTTCAGAATATATTATCATTAAATTATAATTATTATAACAAAATGTAAGCATCATGAATGTTGCATCTGGTAAAGGCGTAGCTGAATTTAGCTGCTTTATATACTGCAGGGTGGCTTAATCCAAAAAAACATCATAATTAGTCGATTAAGAAAGTACAGTACTTGAGTAAATGCACATCCCACCACTCTCTTTGGTATTGATTTTTTTCTCAAAGTGGAGCACAGTGTAATTTACAAAGCAAATTTCTCTGCTGCAGCGGGAGAACCCCAAACAAAATGCATTTTAATGCTTCAAGAAGGTCTGAATTCCACATCAATACAGGAAAACAGAAATCTTTTAGTTTATTTGCTCAGCATCATAGTCACATATATTTTCATAAATGACTTCAAAACATCTGTAATACAACTGCTGCAGTGCAAACACAATCTTATTGAAACACAGAATAGTAAATATGAGTATACTTGGACACTACAATGTAAATATCTGAAGAAAACTCTTTATTAGGCTAGTTAGGTACTGTTGCATTCCCGCACAGGCACAAATAAAGACAGCCCCTTTCTGTGGGGAGGACCCTATAGCCTCACAAATCCTGACCAGGAGGTGCTGCTGCAGGTAAGTGTAACTTATCGACTGTATTATTTTATAACATGTTCATGTACTAATGTATAGAGTAACTGTGTAATTTGTGATGGGATTGATTCATTCATACAGCCTTGGCATTTGCTATGAGTTTAAATATAAACTTTAACTAACGTTAGCTGTGGCATGCTAGCTAGCTTTACCTGGCTAACTTGTGTTTGTTGCTGTCTGTGACAAATAATAGTCCCAAAATAAACCCTCCACTAGAAATTACACTTGTCTGGGCAAGTTTAATGTGACAGGTTAGCTTCAAAAGCAGTAGGACTCGACAAACAGGTGATGACAGATGACAAACAGGTGTGTAACTTGTTGGCAGTAGACTGCTAATGTTAGCCAAGCTGGCAGGTTAACTTGACTGTACCATTGTTTTAATCTTCTTTAATGATATCCTTGCTACTTTTGGTAAGCTAATAACTTTCGACTATGAGCAGGTATGTTTTTTGTGCTACATGTATTCTCCTTACACTTGACTCAGAGCCCAATATCAATTATCTTCTGGAATATAAATCCCCCAAAAGCTTGGGCGAGGTTGTTTAAAATCACTGAACACTGTTTTCAAAGTATAGAAAAGAGTCCTGTCACAGTTTGAATAAAATATATTTCATTTGTTGCATAGATTTTAAAGCAGTTTCTCGAGTTACTTGATCAATAAACGTATGCCGTTAGTTTATGTTTTCATATACAAGAAAGCATTTACGTGTTTCTTATGTTGCTGAGTTGAGGTTAGAGAGGTAAGCTGAGCAGGTTTAAGGATATTTCACAATTGAGCTTGAATTATTTCTCGAATGACAAGACAGATGTTTGATTTGGTGACTGTGATGATTGGAGCGTCCACACGTCAGCAGGCGTCAGCCAAAACATATGTGCTTGCTGTTTTTCTGCATTACAAAATAATCAATATACAGTAAATGTGAACTTCAAAAGGCTTATTTTAGGTGTGTTTTTCTGAAGGAGGAACCCCTCCATGACATTTATAAGACAAAGTGTGAAATGTAGAAGGGTCAGCAAGAATGTGACTTCTTTCCCCAACAGGTGATCCTGTGATGGCGTCTTTCTTTCCACCAAAACAGTGAATGGAAGCAGACAGCCAGATCCTGAGAAGGTTGGTGTCTGACATTGCTGACGTGGCTTCTGCAGCTGCACAAGTGCACTGAAACATTCACCAGGTTAGAAAGTGACAGAGATCTAAAGTGATTTGACACTGTACATCTGTAGTTTCAGTGGCATATGCCAACCAATACATGTATTACCACTGACTGTTGGTATGCTGCTGCTGTTCTGTTGGCAGTTACACTATATGACCAAAATCACGTGGGCACATTACAGCCGTATGTGCTACTTGAACGTCATTCCAAAACCATGGACATTAATCTGTTTAATCTATTAAAGCCTGCACTTTTCTCTGAAGTTTGGTGTTATTTTTTTGACATAATTAATGAACATCAAATGTCTACAATGTTGAATATTAATAAATTAATCAACTAGTTGAAATTGGATCCCAATATAAAGCTGAAATCACTTCAGAGCATCACATCTCATCAGTTAAACTGCATCATCTCCATCAGAGGTGGATGTTTTTTAATTAAAGGGCCGATAAACAATGAATTACAGTCATTTCCTTGTTTCTCCCATAATCCCCCTGATTATTATTAAGAGTGAAATCAGTCCAGGGACCTTTATCCCCCTCCCCCCATGCCCTGACATGCCCTCCCACCCCTGCCCTGTTTTGTTTCTCTGCTGATCATTTGTGAAAGTGAAGTGTTGTCCCAGATGTTTCCTGAGGGAAGAAGATGGTCGTTGTTTCCTATGAGGTCACTTTGCTGGTGGCTTTATTCCCCTGACCGGATCTTTACATTGACTCTGTTGCTGCGGTTATATTTAAATCAAAACATTGTGTTTCAGGGGAGCCCAAGCTCCAACAAAGCAAACTTAAAGTTGTAGTTGAATTTGCAGTAACTGCACAAACAAAGAAGCATGAAGAGTTTGAAAGAACGTTAAAGGTGAGGGAACAAGCACCAGAAAATGGAAAGTGACGAACTCTCTCTCACTGATATCAGTGATACTGATGAAGACAGTGTTTGGGCACGACAGACCAGTCATGAATGAATGGCAGCTATTCACTGAGCTTCATTTATTGAAAAGCTTAAAGATTGATTATATATTATCTGTTTAGAGATGAAGATCAATATTGGCACCTGTTGGCCCAAAATAATAATGATGTGTGATGAAGACTAGGCCAAGTATTATAATGCACATGCAACACTTCCTTATGTTAAATGTTTTTTTGTATGGCGAATACATAGTTATTCATATTTTATGGTATTCTACGCTGTAGTATTGAAACTGTTTATATAACATACACACTGACAAATCAGAGCTGTTATATTTTACAAACAGCTTGGTAGTTTTCTTTAAAAAAAAATAGTAAAATGTACGTACAATTTGGACATTTTGGAGATTTTGTTTTAGGGTTGTCAGTCAGAGGCAGAGTATAAACAACTTGCTTTTCCAGGCAGCTTTATGCTCATGGATGTATTGCTGTTTTTCTCAGATGAAGGTTTTTCCTTCTTTAAATACAAGGCAGTACAAGGCACCGCAGGTACCAAGGAACCAGACTTTAACCATTTGACAGTTGAGACAGATCTTTAATGTTTTTACTCCCTCTGCTGGTGGATGTTGTACATTGGCTGTTGAGTATTAAAACCGTAAACTCTATGAAGGACTACATCAACAACAGCTTCCACGTTTCTTTTGCTGTATGAACATATCTTTACGCTTAAAATACCTGTGGAGTTTAGATAAAATTTAATTATTTTGTTAAATCTGGGATTTAAAGAAAAACAAACAATGACAATCACACTTCTAGCAATGATGGTGCGTTAACGGTTCACTTTTCTACAGTTGAGGACTTAACAATATATTGAATACACACTCAGCAATATTTAGTGTTAGATAAAGGTACATGCTGTTATAAAAGAATGTGTCCTATCATATTTTCAAATTCAATTTGTTGGTCTGACTCATGGGTCAATATGCTATTTACAGTTACATTTATTCATTTTGTCCTAAGCAACATAAAAATGAGGTACGGTTCAATCCATAGGACATCAGGGACAAGCCTTCAAAAATAAGTGCGTCAACAAAAGTTAATTTTCCACCTGACACAAGTGCCACAAAGTGCATGAATTAATGCATAAGAGCAGAGCTAATTACACTTTTTTGGAGCGAGAGAGATATAGATGTATTAAGGAGAGAAAGTCCACATTAGGTGAGCTGTGCTACTGAATCATTTACTATTAATTATATGCTATAATTAGAATGGAAAAACACACTATCAAAAAGACATCCCAATATAATTAGGGAAACTAAAGAAAATGTCCGTACATAATAAAGGTGGATACAGCCAGCATCAAGGGGGAAAACAGTCTGTTTCATACAATAGAACTAACAATTTTCAATCAGAAATGAGACAATTTACCTTTAATTATACTTTATATTGGATGATATAAATAAAGCCAGTTTGGGAATTACCTGCTACATTATTATCATCTAAAGCCATGTAATTCTACACTCTATTGCATTCAGTGGTTTTTGTTTTTGGTGAGGAAAAACCTTCAAAATAAAGTGAAAAATATAAGAAAATATTAAGTAAAATGGCTAACACAGATAATTCATTAGCATGTTTCTTGTTTAAGCTCAGTAGAAAGCTTAAGTCCCACATATGAAATTTGACTGAACAGCAGAAAATTTGAAAAGGAAAATGTTTTCAGACTCCTTATTTCTACCGTTTGTTTTATTAGACAAAGTTTTCATTTTTAGAGAAATGCAATTACTAACACAACACCACGTGAGGCTCGCTGGAAGACATGTATAGCTCAGTTATGGAACCGGTTACTCAATATAGAAGAAAGCAGGCAGACGTGAAAGATAATTATATGGGATAAACAAATTATTGGCTCCTGGTCAGGAGACTTGTGCACATTGCTGAATAACTATGGGTTTGGTCAATATAAATAGCAAGAAGCAATGGGCTGAGGTTATTTAGAAACCAAACCAAAACTGTGTACATTTAGGATTAATAAATATAAAAATGTGACAGAATTATGTTGTATATGATTTTATCTAAAGAGCATGTGCCCAGCTGAGATGTATTTACCACATCATGTTGAAACTGGACGATGTGTCAGTCTGGAAGAAGAAAATTGAGTTTGTTTAAGGAGCTGTAGAATTTTTTTTTTCTATTTTGTTTTCTATTGGCCTTTTAATGGAAACCGTATACAGCAAAGTACAGCTCATCTGAAATGTTTTTTAAAATCTGTTATCTGAAAGAATATAGAAGTGCTTTAAAATGCGGTAATCCTTTTCCTTTTGCACGTTTTTTTGTGAGTCTGTGTATATGTATTACTGGAAGATGTACGTTTTGTGAAATAGTTTTGTAGGACATCTTGCATGACACAAATAAAAAAACAAACCAATCTAACTAAGAGTAACATCATCATCAGCCGGCCTAATCTACGTTTTTCGGCAAACGGTGAGTTAGTTACCAATGTAACAATGCCAAAAAAACAAAGTTTCACTACAGTGGCCATGTCATGTGAACTGACTGATTCGATCTTAAATTGTGAAATCTAGTTTCAACAAAGTTAGTAGCAGCAGTGACAAAAATCAGACTCTTAGATTAATGCAACATTTTATCCCCTGGAATGTCTTGGGTGAATGATATTCAGTCCTGGAGTCTTTCCACTGCCAGTCTTTCACAAATGGAAGACAAATATATTTCTTGGCTGGCCGTTGTGTTTCAGAGTGAGGTTCTTTTGATTGGTAATATACAGGGCTAATTAGCTTAAGAAAGTGATATAGTTTTTCTGCTGGACTGCTGCTCCCCCTTAACGTCAGCTCAGATTTCCCAGGTGCCTCTCTGTCTGCCAGAGGTAACAAAATAATGGCTCTGCTTGGAAGCTTATTTTTCAACGTGTTTTTTTTGTGTGATTTTTAATAGATTACTATTAGAGATATTGGTGGACTCAAGGGAATCCTTGACCCTGCATAGGCTTTTATGTGTTTTCTTCTTTTTGTACACTCCACTGTGCTAATCAGCTATATTTTGGTGGAAGGCCGCCTGCTCCATTACGCATGCAGATTCACATGAAAGCTCAACGTGAGCCTTATTTTATAGAGAGGAAAAACTGGAGGTACCAATTTCAGTGCTTGAATTTCTTTCCTTTTTTGTTGTCCATCACAGAATGAAAGAAAATCCTGTTATTCCCTGTGATGTCTGATATTCCTGCTTCCAAACCACAAGTGTCATGGTGTAAGTACATCAGTTAACATCTCAAGTAATGGGGTACATTGGTCATGAATGAATGATATTCGTTCAAATCGAGGTAACCACGCGAGTTGCATCTTCGAAGGCCTTCATGGTGTTGCGCTCTTTTGTACAAACCCAAAAAGCTGGAAGTAGTTGTGCCAAGAATTGGGGGGGGGGAGTGCTGGGACTTCCTTTCTCACGTACACCCACCTGGCTGCGTGAAGTGGTCGTACTCGTTGGATTGTCTGTTTTGGAAGAACTACAAAAATAGCCAGACACGGGCTCAGACTTTTCTGCTTGGTCTTTATCTCAACATTTTGTCTCTTATGTGTAGTCAATCGAAATCTAACAGAATTTCCCAGAATTCAGCAAAAATCTCACTCGTAGTGCTGCATAATCTGTTTGTGGGGTATAAACATGTGCGTCAGTATTATGAAGAACTAAATAAAATATTGTCCAAGGTTAGACAAGTTTCCTGGTTTAGATTAAGGAATATCTAATCAAAGGATGAACAAACATTAGAATATGACCAAGCATTAGGTGCTAAACTTCAAATTGTTCATTAAATGTGCATCCCTAATAATAGGCACATTCATATGAAGTGCATGTAACAGTTTGTGACAATCTGTTCTCCTTTCAAGTGTTTTTGACTAAATGAAAAAGGTAAACCTTTAGCTTTCCTTCACTCTGTAGTTTTCCATAATGAAAGTACGAACTGTACTGTTTATAGACATTGTTTTAGTAAGTTTCATAGACATTTTTGGCTCAGTTCTTCAGCGTTTTCAACTTCTACTACAAAACTTTCAACCTCTCTAGCACCATTGTTGCAACTAAAAAACAAGAGAAAAAATAACAGCTTGTCTGGAGATGGATTAAATGTAATAAAGTTATTTAAACAAGAGAAACACTTGGATTGATAATACCATTGATAACGTTCTGATGCCTGCCTAACATTTATCTCCAGGCTACGCATGTTACATAATGCAGCTTTCATTGCAGTCGACCAACTACAGCTGGATGTCAACATTAGTAACTGTAGCACAGCTGTATTTTTCTCGCCAGTCTTCAACCGAGTAAATCAAACACTGAACATTTGGAGGTAATTCAACCTCAGTGAATGATAATTCATCAAACTGTACTAAGCTTAAGTGGTTATTCAGATGAGTGGTTTCCTATAAAAGAGGGAGTTGTCTTCAGGCGGTGTAATTTAGATATGATCTATGTGTGCATTTAGGAAACTACAAGAAGGCCATGGTTTAAAAAAAATACCCTCTTGCACTTAAACACGAGTATAGATCCTACTTTATATTAAACAAAGAACTATACTGCTTTCTGCATATCCAGCTGCCATTTATACCTCTGTCATCCTAATGCTGTAACATACAACAAACAAACCTCTAAGATTATTTATCTGTATCTTTGAAACAGCTCTCCCATCCTCATTCCTGGCAGACAGACTTATATTGAACCTGGTTAATGAATGTCCTCTTATACAAACACACACAATTATCTCAGGCACCCACCTGGTATGACTGTCAGTATGAGGTTTTTATACTGTACATTTGGGATCATGGTGACTTTAAAGCCAACATGTGAGATACATATATATCGAGAGAGAGCAAGAAAGAGAGAGAGAGAGCAAGAGAGAAAGCGCGAGCGAGCTGGATAGCTCAGAGGTTAACGCCACTGACTGATGCAATCCCGGTGAGAGGGGTTATATGCAGAGACTGGGATATATGGATGCTTTGAAACCCATCATCAACACTGACAAAGAAACAACTCCTAGCTCAGTGTTCTAACATCTGCAAACAGCAGCTCCTATCACAACTAGAGACTGATGAGGTACAACAAATATGCTACGGCAAGGAGGAGCCAGGACGACAGGTCAGCGGGGAGATGTTATCATCATCACCACAGTCAGAGATTGTGACAACAAGCTGTTATGGTACAGAATAACTCAACATAAGGGCAACTCGCATAACTAAGCTGGACCCCGACCAAGATTGCCAAGTCTAAAGGCTTGTGCAGACTACACGATTTTCAGCGTCAGCCGATGGCCGTGCCGTTCACACTACACAACTTGCCGTCTTGTGACAGGAGTCTTGAAGCCGTTGTGGCGTTCACACAACGTGACTGATCGGTGACAGGGGGTCAATACACTACACGAGCTGACAGCTACTGTGTCACCCGACGCTTGTCTCCAAACCACGTTTTGTTAAGAAAACACACGTGAAATGTGAAACGGGAAATTATGCGAACCTACACACGTTTGTTATTATAAAGTCTGTGTGAAAGAATGGATTAGCACACTCAGGTAGAAGAGATTGTCTGAGCTACAGAGAGAGCTGGAGTGGAGTAAAAAGTGTTTTGCGGTGGAAAAAGTAGCTGCCCGCTCCGCCAGCTGCCTGCTCTCGTTAGCTGGATGTGGATGTCGAGTCGGCCGACTCCACCAGATATTTGGCATGCTAGATATCTGGCAGATGTCAGCGATGTGTCAGAAATATGTCGGGGAGCCGTTTTGATGTGTCATAGAGTAGTTCACACATAACGTCTAGCGACCACCGATCAACAGCTGATTTACCCCCGATCACAGCCTGATAGTCACTGAGCTCGCCGAGCGGCAAATCGGGCTAAAAATTGTGTAGTGTGAACTAGGCTTAAGTGACAGAGTACCCTCTGAAAGATGTGAATGCAGTACTACATACTATCCCTACTAAAGTAATAAACGAGACAAATGAGCTGATGTACACCACAGCAACAGTGATTCTGGCTATAAGATGAACACCACAAGCTCAGGAGCATTACCCCCCGTGGAGAAGGCTAGAGGCCAAGACCAAGGCAACACAAAGAGAGGTTAGTAAAGAGATAAAGAGGTTAGGTACAAGGGGCTACCTAAGAAATACAACAAGCTGTCGATACCTGAGTTTCTGGAGACCGGCTAAAGAGATACAAGGGAGAATCAGAAGCCAGGAAAATAAACCTACTGGCTGAAGAAACTAACTGCACTCCATGAGCGCCTGGCAGCACAAACGAACCACGCAGAATCATCATAGCGGCTAAGAGGAGTAGGCACATGGCTCAATACATGGACAGGGCCCAGAAGGGAATGGGTAGTAATACCAGGGGAGCCAAGCACCAGCTACTGGTTGATAGAGCAGTGACTCGGGACTGCAAGACCAGGCAGACCAACCTGTGCACTGCCTGGATTGACTACAAGAAAGCTTACGACAAAATGTCACTTACATGGATACTGGAATGCTTGTAAATGTACAAGATCAACAGGACATTAATAGCCTTCATCAAGAACTCAATGGGGCTGTGGAAAACAAGTCTGGCCAACTCGAAGCCAATTGCACAATTCACCATCAACTGTGGCATATACCAAGGTGATGCACTATCACTGAACCCCCTCAGCCAGATCATCACAAAGACTGGCTACGGATACCGGTTCCGAGGTGGAACAATCATCAGTCACCTCCTCTACATGGATGACATGAAGCTGTATGCCAGAAATGAGCGAGCCATCAACACTGATCCACACTACCAGGATCTACAGCAACGACATTGGGATGTCGTTCGGACTGAAGTGTGGTCGCATGGTATCAAAGAGAGGGAAGATGATCAGAACAGAGGGGCTTGAACTACCAGAAGGCCACATTGCAAGGAAGATGACCTGAGGGGGAGAACAAGGATGATGAAGAACCTTCATGGACAGACAAGCCACTGCATGGCATGTACCACAGGCAAATAGAAAAAGTGGCTAATATCAAGAAATCCTACCAGTGGCTGGAAAAGGCTGGACTGAAGGACAGCACAGAAGCACTAATCATGGCGGCACAAGAACAGGCACTCAGTACAAGATCAATAGAGGCTGGGGTCTACCACACCAGGCAGGACCCCAGGTGCAGACTGTGCAAGGATGCCCCTGAGACAGTACAGCACATAACAGCAAGGTGTGAGATGCAGGCAGGAAATGCGTACATGGAACGCCATAACCAGGTAGCTAGCATACTGTACAGGAACATCTGCCATGAGTATGGGCTGGAAGTCCCAACATCAAAATGGAAGACACCTCCTAAGATAGTTGAGAATGACCGAGCTAAGATCCTGTGGGACTTCATCCAGAGATCCAGACCAACCAGACATTGTGTTGATCGACAAACAGCAGAAGAAGGCTGCAGTGACAGATGTGGCAATCCCAAGCGACAGCAACATCAAGAAGAAGGAACACGAGAAGCTTGAGAAATACCAAGGGCTGAAAGAGGAGCTAGAAAAGATGTGGAAAGTAAGAGCAACAGTGGTACCAGTGGTAATCAGAGCACTGGGAGCTTGTCTGTGCTAGTATGGATTTGATTGCATAACAGTAATGCTCATGGGCTGTGTTGCTGAGACTGCACGGTTAATGCCAGCTATTTGTTTTGCGCTGTTTTCTTTTCGTTCATTAAAAATAATTGTGTTTTCTACTGAGCATACCACAGACTGGCACCTCCTCTGAGTCGCAGCTCCTCTCTGGGCCAACATAAGCCCTGCATACCTAGGAGGGACTCCTTGTGTTTACCTCTCCCTGCCGGCACAGACCGACGGCAGACTGAGGGTCCTCTCCTTTTTCTTCTGTGGTTTCTGGCAGCCACTGCCAGATTCCACTATGTCTATCACTGCAATCAGCAGGCCAGACCTGCCGTCAGCCAAGCAGCTTGAAACAAAGCAGCATGAACGGCTGAATATAAAGTAGGTGAGGCGTTTCATTTTGGATACTGAGAGGAATGATCTGTGCTTTCTCTCTGAGCTTTGTCAGTTTTTTTACGCTCTTTGTCACCAGAGGACAGTTCTTCTTGTCTTTCATGATAAGCCAAAGTGCAACATGCTCCATTTCCTCCTCAGAAGAGGAACTTTCAGCAGCAAAATGTATCCTACAATGTGTTTTAACACCCAACACTTGCTTGAAAATGTGTATTTTCTTCATGAAGTGTTGGTTCGCTAGGTGTGTGTGATTGCCGATTTGG